GATTTCCTAAACCACATGTTGTGCTAAAAAAAATTTAGATAGATTATTTAACACTAAAATTGAATTTTATAGTCTATTTTATTTCTGGAAATAAATTTTATAAGCCTGTTAAAAAACTATCTGAAGCACGCATATAAAGAAGAAGGAAAAATTTTAAAATAAATAAAGGAAAAAAAAAACTGATAAAAGGACTAACTATTAAAAGATTTTCCAACAAAGCATTGCTACAATAAATACCCACCACTACTCCACATTAATGAAAACTGCTGGTTCGTCCCTCTTCTATCCAAGTTTCACATCTATGTACTTGATCTCAAGTTGAGCGGTTGGTGGATATTATTGCAAATGTAATTAAAATTATTCGAGTTTTTTTTTCCATTTAGGGAATATGGAAGATTTAACTTTCAAAATAGTATATATCAAAAAATTATTCGAGTTGATAAATAAGCATATTTTATTTTCAAATAATAATAATAATAACCATGTTTATTTTACAACTATATAATTGAAAATATATGTTTTAATTAGCTTATAAAATATGCTCAAATTAATATTTTATTGACTTATTATTATATAGGTGACATTTTATCTAAAATTTGTGTGTCATAATAATTTGTCAATCTTATCATAGTTACATGTATAAGACGCCTATTTACTATCTCAAAGATTTATGATTTGATAATCGTTATTACAATTATTAAACCAAAACAATAAAACAAAATATGATCTAATATATGATAAAATGACAGAAACATCATCCTTCAACTAAAATGAGGATGTTCCTCATTCCTCCTTCAACTGGTCCCTCGTTGCGGATTTATAAGAATAATAAATAGGGAGATAAAGATGAACAATTGAATTTCCAATTTCCAATGTCTAGAGAATCAATCATGTCTTAGCTATGTTTATATTATAAGAAATTATTAGGTTAAAATGAATTACTAGATTAATGCATTTTATCAGATTAGTAAAGTCACATCATTTTACTACCAAGTGCCAAATGAGTTAAATGATTATTAAAATATTTTCAGGGACTAAAAATATTTATTTTAGAACTTGAGTATCAAATAGACCTTTTCAATTTCAATAATCAAAAAGTATAATTTACTTTTTAAAAAGTATTTTTAAAGTACCCATGTAAATATAGGCAATTGCAGGAATGACTAAAATTAATAACGCGTTTAAAAAAATATCCAAACCTATGAAATATTGTAATAATGACTAATTAATTTTTTACGTTAAATTCTAAAATATTTTGTAGACAAATATAGCCTTGTAACCAATTAAGTATATACACATTTAGGATTTTTAACTAATTGCAAAAACAACGGGACTTCATTTTAGGAATAATTATATCGAATAAAATTTAAATAATTAACTTAAATCTAATTTAAAATTGATAATCAGAATTTGAGAGTTCATTTAAGAAAAAAATTACTAAAAATGTGTTGAGGTAGGTTTTGAAATTTACCCCTCTAAAATTCCAAAATAAGAAGATAAATAAGATTATTACTAGGTAAATGATAAAATTTACTTCTCACATAGAAGTTAGGGTCTTAGGAGTCCCCACATTCTTCCCACCTTTTGGTCTCACGCAACCTCACAGCCATCGTCTTCCTCACGAAGCAAATCCGCGAGTCACCATCCCGCCACTCACCTCACCTTCACGTTGTCGTCCACGAACTAGACCCGTCGCTGCCGCACCCAACCGTCGCCACACTCCCCATTGGCTGCAACACATACCATATCTGCTTGACACGCCACGTCCCAAACCAGATCTACCGTCTCGTCGTCCGACCAAATCCGCCCAAGGCTGATATGATCCACCAACCGCCCCAGACCTTGCCGCTTCGATATGTTTCCGATCTATCGCTCAATTTCCATCTCCTAGCAACTATTCGAGGAAGGTAAGACCCTTTGTTCAGATTTTGCGTATTTTATGGGTTCTAAAAAAGATATTTTTGGTTTTCTTATATTTTAGGGTATTTAAAAAAATACAAGTGTGTGACCGACATGTGTCTTTTGTTTATAATTGAATTTAAGAAGTATATATCTACACAATAGACTTACTATATTTATATAGTTTAAATTCTAAATAGAATCTATATATAAAGTAAAAGTTAGAGGAGGAACATCTCGACAATCATTTAAAGCTACTGGTATAACAGGACGTTCAAAGGAATCGTGCAAAATCAACTTTAGAAAGTGAAAAATATGTATAGATTCAGTAGTTTCATATATTTCTTGTTTGTTAATTTTTACAGTAATATTTACAAATTAGATTCACTGAGCTAACTATACATATATTTCAGAAAAATGAAAGGGTCTCAAGATAGTTGAAGAAGAACGTGTTATTGAGGTAATTATTGGTATATACATGTATTGACATTTACTTATGATATTTGAGTTGTATAGTTGTATATACGTGTATTGACTTTCGTATTTTGTTAATTGTTAAACTGGTATATACATGTATTGACATAATTGAGTTTCATGGTGACATCTACGTGTATTGAATTCTAATTTTGATTTTTCTTTAATTGGTATATACATTTATTGATCTTTTAATTTTGATAAATTTTCTAATATTTTAAAGAACGATACAAAGTCTAATGAAAAGAACGAAAGAGTGAATAATAAATCCATCGATGAACATAAGAAATAACTCATCATAAAAAAAAAGTTTAAGAAACTCAATTTGATGACGATACACGCCCAAAGACTATAAATTTAAGAGGCATCACCTATTTTCCTAATCGTTTTGATTCAGGTTGTTAGTATTCGATTTTTTAATTTACTTATGTTAAGACTATAAATTTAAGAGGCATCACCTATTTTCCTAATCGTTTTGATTCAGGTTGTTAGTATTCGATTTTTTAATTTACTTTTGTTGTAGACGATTTATTAAATGATAAAAAATATGAAAACAAAAATACAAATAACCTGTGACAGCATATTCTCTTTAGTAGTTAGGTATATATACCAATTGATGCAAATATGTATATATACATTAAGAAGATATAGTAGAACAAATGCAAACCGATGAAATGAGAGATGAATCGTTGTACACAAATCGTTTAAATTAACTAAAATACAAAACAAAGTAATTAAAATAATTAACTTAAAATCCCTTGAATGTAGGACAATAATTTTGAATTCAAAGCAAAGTTTGGTTCTTTTATAAAAYTTCTAAAATGCCTTTTAACCATCTGTACAAAATTTAAATCTAATAGACATTTTTTAAAACAGGCAAAATTTTTGCCAACCACTCAAATTTTCCATAAATATACCCCATCCAACCTAACACTAGCAGGCCACCAGGCCCACACGCAAAACTGATTGGATTCGCACGTGCGTCAACAGTACGGCGTTACAAACAGTAATCCAACATGTGAACGTGAATGATACACGCCGTCAAAGAAGCGTCGTACCAGTTTTAAGGATTTATTTTTTGTTTTTAATCACGAATTTAACCGATTTAAGGATGTGTTTGTTTAAACTTCGGGAGCCGTTTTTTTCTAGATCTGTCGTATTTTATATAATTTTTTTTAATGATATCTGAAGATACTCGAATGGATATGTTTGTTTTGGTTAATTTATTATAATGTTTAAATTTAAATAATGTTCTAAAAATATAGTTATGAATATTTATATAATCTGTACATTATTTTAATATAATTTGTATGTATATAATAAGTTTATTTCTATTAGTTTGATACTTTTATATGTTATTTTGTAAAATAAATTAATTCATGTTAATATATAATTTTTTAAAAAATAATTAATATTAAATATAAATTTCATTTTCAATTTTAATATTTGTTTTTAAATACAATTATTTAATTAATTTATATTGGGTGAAATTTATTTATTATATTATTAGATTATATTTTTTTAAAGAGAAATATCAAATGTATGTTAGCTATAAAAAAAATGTTGCTTTAAAATGATATTTTAATATAATAAATATTATTAAGATAATTCTCTTAAAATTTAATATAATTTAACTGAAATTTATTTTAGGAATTAATTACCCCTCTTATTTTATCATAATTAAAAAATATATATACAATACATAAATTTTGTAATTTTTATCTAATTTACTCTCAAAATTTTTAAAGTTGGACAATTAGACATATAAAAATTATAAGGTAAAATGTTACTCATCACTCACAAAAATAATGACTTTGCTCCGATTTTTAGGACAAGGACATGCAATGAAGAAACCGTGTCGACACTCAATATTGTAAGGTCAAATGATTGTCACGTGAGATTAGTCGAGGTATGTTTAAGTTGATTAAAAAATTCGTTGATATATCTTTTTAGTACAACATTTGAAAGTGTGAGATTGAATTCACAACCTCTCGATTGGAAATATAGATGAATTATCACTGAACCATGTTCGTTTTGACCAAATACTCGTGAATATTAAAAATAATAAAATAAGTAAAAAAATACATGCAACCAAGAAAAAAACTTAGGACAGTTCAAAGTAACCCAGAATGTAATTAAAAGAATACTGCGAGGAAGGACCATAATTTAAAACTTATAAAATTAAATTATCATGGTGCAATAAATTAAATAATTGCTCAAGTGATAAACGTGGTACAAGGTAGTCAGACGGGCAGCGGGCAATAATGGGCAGTGAAGCGATGGGCAGAATGGACAGATTGTACGGAAAAGCAGAAGCAGCCATTTCCACGCCAATGGGGTATCGTATAGAAAAAATAATCAATATACCCTTTTATCCATTTCCCAAACAAGACCTTAAAAAAATCATTCTTATTATTATTATTATTTTTTTTTTTGGTTTTTAGTTTTTACTACGGAAAATAGTAAAGAAATGGTTTGACTGAACCCAGAACGTCCCAAATCCAGCTCTCTTAAAAAATGATGAAAAAAAAAAAAGTAAAAATTATGGATGAAACCCTTTGAACTGGCGACTGTTTGGCTATAAATGGGAACGTATCCTTTCCTTAAATTGTACACGTCATCGTCATAGTCCAATCCTGAAATTCTCGCTCTAAAAACCTCTCTCTCTCTCTCTCTCTCTCTCTCTCTCTCTGGATGCAAAACCTAGCTCAGTTCTTCTAGTTTCCGCATCAAAAAGGTATGAATAGTTCAGAAACTGATCTGAAATTAATTTCCACCTCTTGTTTTATTTAAAATTTTTAGATTTCACTCATAGATCTGAACTAGGAAGAAAAGAGGGTATAAAATAATTTGAAAAAAAAAGAAAGAAGAAGTTGAAATGTAAATAAAATAATTTTGAGTTGCAGAAATTAAATCAATGGCGAGAGAGAAGATAAAGATAAAGAAGATCGATAACCTGACAGCGAGGCAGGTGACGTTTTCGAAGAGGAGGAGAGGGCTAATGAAGAAGGCGGAGGAGCTGGCGGTGCTCTGCGACGCCGACGTGGCGCTGCTCATTTTCTCCGCCACCGGCAAGCTCTTCGAGTACTCCAGTTCCAGGTAATATTAGTTATTAATTGTTAAATTAGTCTCAAATTTATTTTCCATATTTGACTCAGTTTTATTTTACTTTGTTTACCTGAAGCTGAGTAATTTCTTGGGAAATGTGGAACCAGAACCAAACCAACCGATTCTAAATGTTTTGGATTTTATTATTTATTTTGTTTTTGCGTTGACCTCTGGATTATATTTGTTAATGTCGTATTTTCTTTTGGCTTCTAATTTTAGAAAGGATTGCTGGGTTTTTCAATTTCAAGTTATTAACATTTTGTATTGGGTAGTGATATGATAAATTAGATTACGCCGGAAAACAAAATTCGATTTTTGTAATTTACGTATATTTTCATAACAAATTCTTTTTTTTTCTTTAATTATTATGCTTGTTTCCTTTTTAAGCATGTTAAAACCTTAAAAGCGTATTTAGCCTCTTAGCTAAATTTCAGAAACAAAAACAAAAACAAGTTTTTGAAAATTAATTTTTTTAACATGTCAATATTAATGTTGACGGTGTGCGTAAATGTAACTCGTTGTCCAGACAACTATTCAGAATTTCTAGAATTCCTTGTAAAACTTGTTGGAAAAGCTATTGTCACGTTTGATCCATCGTTATTTGTTGTTAAAGATGAATAGTTTCACTTTTATAATTTTGTAATTGTTTCAAACTTTTTGAAGTTGAATTTGGTTTAGATTTTGAAAACGGCTTTAAAAATAGATACAAAATAAAGAAAGGCGAGTGGAGAATAGTATTTACAAGCTTAATTTTTAAAAACAGGAAATTAAAAAACAAAATAGTTATCAATCAACACCTTACGAACCTTTTGCAAATTTAAAGATATTTGATTCATGAACGGAACTTATCACTTAAGATCGGAGAGTCAAACTCTATACATTGAATTCCGCCCTATCCATAAACGAGCCCTATGCTACACACTATATACTTTACAAACCCCAAACAAGTTATATAAATCCAAGCCTATATCACCTTTATTTTGTAGACTAATAAATAGGAGCTAAAAAAAAATTATAACATTCTACCCTATGCAAAATAGACTTCACTTATTAAAACCTTGGATCAACTAATTAATAGTCACAAAAATTTGAACTTACTGACACAAACAGATCCCGGTGTTTTAGATAGGGGATGATTTGCTATTGCTTTTCTCTCAATTTTGTTTCGTGCGGAACTTATGTTAAGAAAAGTTACGACTCTATTCTATTAAATCTATAACGTGTATTTCAATGTGTGTATATATTTTTTTCTTTTTTTATAGTTTAGAGATTTGATCTCTGATATTTTAATAGAAGATATATGTTTTTAATCAGTCTGAGTCACACCAAAACAACTAGAAAATAAAAAATAAAAGTTGATTATGATCTAACTTGCTTCTATATTTTAAATTTTGAGCAATTATATCATGGAAGAACAATATAATAATGGTTGCCCACCTCTCCCTTTTTGTGCAAGGAAATGGAAGCTGACATATAGACATTGATTAACCATATTCATATTATTCTATTAGAAATCTTTAGATTCTAACCAAATTAACTTTTAAACTAAAAAAATGGATAACAAGTGGATAAACAGGGGTAAATTTGAGATAAAATTTTAAAATCTTAACTTTTCAATATAATTTTTTATAACTTAGTTAAGAGGGCAATCTATGCCCCTATGAATGAATAAACTAAAATAATAATTAAAAAAAGGATTGTTTAAATGAGACTTTATATGATGAATTAAATAAGTGTATGATTTTTTTTTTATATAAATATATATATTTGGTGCAGCATTAAGGATGTTATTGGGAGATATAATTTGCATTCTAATAACATTGGAAAACTGGAATATCCATCTCTCGAGCTACAGGTAACTCAGATTATATTCCATTGATTTAGATTTTGTTTAGAATTTTTATACTATTAAATTATAGCTGATTCGATAATAATTTCGTTTTATAATTCTTGTATTCTCGAAACCATGTCTGATATGAGCAATTTCTTTGAAAATTTTAGAATCAAATTTGAAATTCCACTAGAATTTAAAAATAAGCTCAATTAGTTGTTCTAATAAATCAGAAAACAGAAACAAATTTTATTAATGAAAGCTTACAATAAAAAGAAATACTATTTTTGAAGTTTAGCTCGAGAATAGCAACCACGTTCGATTGTGCAAGGACGTTGCAGATAAGAGCCATCAACTGAGGTACTTTTTCGTAATTTTGATGCCTTAATTTTTATTTATTTTCTCAAATAAAATTTTTATATTAACTTTCTAAATGTATTATATGCAAATTTAAAAATATTAAAAGGCAAATGAGGGGAGAGGATCTTCAAGGACTGAACTTAGAAGATTTGAAGCAATTGGAAAGAGTCCTTGAAGTAGGCCTCGCTCGGGTCCTCCACACCAAGGTTTTTTATTTATTTATTTATTTTATCTCCCTCTAACAATATAAGATTTTCTTATTAGGAAGTTTTTGCTTATAACATATGGTGGATTCTTCAAATTATGTAGGAACAGAAGATTATGAGTGAAATTAGTGCACTTGAGCTCAAGGTAATTATTTACTTCCACTACATTCTTTGATTATTAGTTTAATTTGGTTCTTCCTGATTTAATTAAACTTCACAGATCATTTGAAATCGTCATTTAAAATCGTCTTTTGCCTACTCGTGTAAACTTATTGAATATGATAGTGAGAAAGATAGTCTAGGAGTGTTTAACTTTTAAGGTGGTGATAGAGATCAAATTTAAACTTCAAGGATATAATATTTTGGTTCCCGTAATATCAGTTTTGTTGGTTCATTTTAGTCTCCGTACTTTGAAATTGCTGTTTTGGTTCTTCTACTTTAAAAAAATAGTCATTTTGATTCCTTAATTTTATTTCTAATCTAATTTTTTCCATCGTAATTTCAACATGACATTATATTCAATGTATTTTTTGAGATGTAATCACGACTTTATATTTAAAAGTTTTCGTTATTTGTAGAATTTGCGTTAACGAGTTACAAATATGAGTCAAAATGATCAATTTTTAAAAATACGGGACCAAAACAAACTTTTTAAAAGTATGTAGATTAAAATGAATTAAAATTGACTGTACCGAGACTAAAATAAAAGAGTATAGAACTATTAAAATGAAAACAACAACTCTTTACTCACTTTTAAAATAAGAATAAGTGAATTAAAATAAATCTTTATTATAATTACTAAATCACCATTTTTTTAAGTACTCTGAATCAAGAAAATTTAAATCATATTCAACAAAATTGAAACTATGTACAAATTTAAATTTATAATTTAACAAAAAAAAGGAGTAAAATGTTCATTAATTCTTATATCTTCACTCATGCTGTGGTAAAAATTACACAGGGGGCAAGGCTGATGGAAGAGAACAGGAAATTAAAACAAAAGGTAATATGCTATAAAATGAATGTCTGGTGTTTTATCCATGTAATAAATAAATTAATTAAATGGCAGATGTTAAGGTTGTCGAATGAAAGAATACCAGTGCTTGCGGATTCCGACGTTGGGATCCCGGAAGAGGGCGGCGTTTCGTCGGAATCCGCCGCCAATGTCTGCAGCTGCAACAGCGGCCCTCCCGCCGACGAGGACAGCTCCGACACCTCTCTCAAATTAGGGTGAGTCTTGCTCTTGCTTCTGGTATTCAGCATAAATTCAAATATAATATTAAATTACAACATTAAAATATTTAGGGAGACTGTGGTAGGTAGGAAAAATATTTCATGTATTTAAAAATACGACACTTGTTTTTAGAAATTTTCAAATACTTATGTTAGTAGTATATCACATACTCACACATCAGTAGTATATCAGACACTCATATTAGTGGTATGTTATATTCATATTTCACAGATACTTGTAGTATATCAGATTTATATTACATGCATATTGTAAGTATATTAGATATATGTCAGTAATCAGATATATTATATATGTATTACAGATGTATATCATTTGGATAAAGTTGTCATCTTAAAATTGGATATCTGTTTTTGTTTAAAAAGTGTTATATTTGAAAGAGCTAAATGTGATTGTTATTTTGCTATTTTTACTAAATGTTTTTTATATATTTGAAACTACCCCAAATATTTAGGTATAAGAAGAAATAAAAAGAGTTATAACATTTGGTCCATAGGTGGATGAAAATATTTTATTTCGAGTTGAAGGTTTCAACTATTCCTACGTGATTTTGTTATATTCGAAAAAAATATAAGTTATAACATATTCTTTTAAAATATACATCGAAATAAAATTCTAAGTTTGATTATACGGTTGATTTTGAGGTTTTAATGAAAGACTTATCTTCAGGTGGATAATAATTTACTCAATTTTTTTATAATAATAATACGTGTTCTTTTATAAGTTCTTAAATTTTATTAGTTTTTTTATAAACAAGAAGAAAAAACAAAATTAATCTCAACATAGATTGTGAGCCAATTGATTAGAATATAAGACAAAATTTATCGAGTTTCACACGTGAGTTTAACCTTTATGGATTAAGATATGAGGATAATTTTTACATAGAAGCCTTAAAGAATAATAGAATGTTCGAAAATATAAAGACTAGGAAGAAATGAGTGTAGAATTAAAATTAAATTTGTGGGGAAAAATTAATATTATTTCAATTTGAAATTATATTATAGTTTTATTGTAACAATGAATTAATTAATCTATTTGCCGTATGGGTGTTGATTTTGGCAGGCTTCCTTGCTCAAACTGAGGCAAATGTTGACGAAGATTATAAAGAGGGGCAGAGTAAAATCAAATGCAACTTTAATAAAAATGAATTGTTGGAATTATAAACTTTATTAAATGATTAATGATGAGTTTGACATATTTTAAATGAGTGGAAGCGATTTAAATTAATTAATTAAAAATTTCAATATTATCATAATCTATAATCTTTAGTGGTATGGACCGTATGGTAGAGTTATTATTATTATTATTATTTGAACATTGTATTTTAAAGTTCACTGTTTAACTGCCAAAGCGAGTCTAGCTCAGTGGTAATTGGTATATATTTCAAATTACAAATGATTTAAATATTACATTGAAATTTCTCGAAAAGAAAAAAAAATATTATATTGAAATCTAAGCGAAGGAAGTGTCACTATCTTTGTATGCTTTCGCCATCTGGTGTATTGATGTTTCTTAAATGGGCATGTCTGGGCTCAGAAAAGCTTTCGATGTTTTGATCCTTCTTCTCGTTCTCGTCGTCTTTGTTACCTTCCATGAACACGAGTTCTTCTACTCTTTTTATTTTAGTAGGCGCCTATTGGATCAGCATCTTCTGGATCTTCTTCACCAGTGGTTTTTCCTGCGCCTCCCGTGCATCAGGGGGAGTCAGAGTCCCAAGGAAATTAGGGTCGCATCCCTCTATTGAGCAGCCAACACTTGCACCTCGCTCTTCTAATATTAAAGAGCAGCCATCATCTTTATCATCTTCTAGTAACAACCAGTTGACTACGGATTCTCCTTCATCCTCTAACGTTGCGTATTTTTTTCATTGTCAATTTTAGCATAGTTTAATGGATAAGACATCTATTGTAATATCAAATATCAATGACTCACTCTTCACCATTTCGAGTGATTGACTGACTAAATACACAATTCTATTTTCAATTTTATAAATTAAGTTTCATTGAGTAGTCACAACGTAGTTCTATACTTCATATATTATCCTGCCTTATGAACCATCCATATCCTATGAATTATGTTTTTTTTTTGTTTAAATTAATAAATTGTGTAACCCATCTCGAATCAATCATATATAAATATCATAATATTGATAGATGATTAAATGTTTGTAGGACATCAATTTAAAGTGTTTAGGTCTATTAGTGAAAAGTAATTACGTTATATTATTACAGGTTATTTTAACATGCACGTAGTAATAACAATAACAACAACAATAATTAATTATTATTATTATTATTATTTTATATCATGTGTACCAGAAAAAAAAATGTATGATAAATAAATAATTTCTAATAATGTGAGAAAAAAACATACATGTTTCTAGAAACATAAAAATAAGTTAAACAAAAGGTTTATTTTAGTACAACACGTTGGGAGGGGAGGGGAGATCGAATTGACAATCTTATGGTTAGAGGTATATGTCAATTATTACTTAACTATATTTACTTTTGCAGCTTAGCTATAATAACACGTTGTTATTATATGGAACTTCAATTGATCGCCATAACTCAAATGTATTGAATAATCACAAAAGTATATTATGAAATTAGTACAAGATTTAATGTCACCATTATAAAAAAATAAATAAATAAAAGAATATTACACTTACCTACGTGACCAGGAAAAAAAAGAATAACCTAGATGGAATAAGTTCAAACCTTATGATAGCTACTCCTACGATCAAATATAGTGACATTTTTAATTAATTTTTACAAAACTTTTTTTGACCAAACATGAATGATGGCTAATTTACTTTGTTTTTTTTTTTTGTCATCTCAATTTTAAAGTTCGCATTTATAAGGTTCATATAAGATTTAATATCCTATATGTTTATCCACAGCATGCAGTAAATCTTTAATCAACTTTAACAACATTTTTTTTGCCCAACCATGAATGATTGCTAGTTTACATTTTTTTTTTCTTTTTTTCATCATTTCAGCTTTAAGTTAGGTATGTTTCTGAATATTTTTACTTTTATTTTTTAGCTTCTAAAATATAGCTTACAGAATTAAAGGGTGATATACATATACACAATATTCAAATTTAGTTTATATTTAATATTTAATTTTCAAAAGCAACATGTCTATGAAATTTGGATTTAATTTTTAATTGGTGGATAAGATCTGAATTTGATTTTCAATTAATATTTAAGTTGATTTTTTTAAAATACAATATGTAGATGATAAATTCAATTCACAATTACTTGATCGGAGATATATGTCAATTAAGTACAACATCTGAGGTGGGGATTCGAACTCACAATTTTTTGTTGGAGATATAGGTAAATTACGGTTGAAATATACTCAGTTTAATAGATTGAAATAGTATATTTAAAAAAGCATAAATTAAAAAAATGATTTATGGGATCATATCAGAGCTTCTTTAACGATCAAAGTCGACTCACAATCACATGCGGTAATAAAATTCGGAAAAGAGTGAAAATTCTCTTAAATTGTTTCCACTTTGAAGCAACCTAAGTGGGCCAAAGCTTTGACGCAATCCGGCGTTTAGTAAAAATTTGCCCGCCCATCTGCGTCGGACCTCGCTCTCTGATTCACAAATGTCAACTCACTGAGTTCCTTGGACTCGCTTCAACTTGAAGATCTCCCTCTCCTCCCCTCGCCATGAAGAACGCCTCTGTCAGACGCCTCGAAGTCTTCGATTTCACCGAAGAAGACGCGCTTTCGGAATTGATCTCCGAGAAGCACATCAGCAAATTCAAAAACCCTAATCTCGAAACCAATGATCTTCTTTCGAAGTATGACTTTCTTGAATGTGGTAGGTCCTCCTCAACTAGATACTACTTCCTCTTCGTTTTCTATCTTGTGCCTAACAATATTAGTAGAAGATACTTGCACACGAGTCTTCAATCTTTGACGAGAGCAGAGTTTCGCTCGATTTAGGGGGTTTTTTTTTGGAGTTATGAAGAGAAAGCTGATCACTATATTGGTTCCGTTAGCTTCTTGCCCTAGGTAGATCGTGGAGTAGTTTGTAAAATGTTTAATGGTTCTTTGTTGTCGATTTTCCGCCAAATACAGACGAATTTGGAACCTACTGAATTGTAACCCAATGAATTGAGCTATTATTTCTGGCGCCAAATTAATCCGTCTGTGGCGTTTTATTTTGTGGTTTATCGCTGGTTTGCTGAATATCATCTAATTCCAATGGGGATTAAAGTGAGTATGTAATCGTTCAAGGTAATTAAAATGCGTTTTTTCTCCTCCCTCTTCTGGTAACTTTTATGATGTCGAAAGAGGTAATAGTAATGAGTTTGATCCCGCTGGAGGTTCATATCTGAAAGAGGGTTTCTGTAATAATTGTTTTCATCTTTTTTTTTTTAATTATTATTTTTATTTACTTAAGAACACAGACGTCTTTGCTCTAGTATCATAAAGTGGTAAATTTTCTAGCACATGTTTGAGGATATTCTGTATCTTGTCTCCTCAATAGTTGAACACAAACAGTAATTATCTTGATCTTTCTTTTTTGATAATAAACCAAGCTTTCATAGAGAAAAGATGAAAGGGGTAATTATCTTGTGGATTTATTAGTTTATGGTCATCCATTTTATTAATTGTGAAGTTAAATTAACAGAAGCCAATGGATTCGTTGTTGAAGGAAAGGAGATTGGAAATCCACATATGGATGTTGATTTGGATGAACGCAATCGTAGTTGTGATGATGGTATTTCACATATTCCTACTGAAGAGCAATTCATCATGGACGAAGAAAAATATCAATTGGATGCCAACCCACAATCAGAATTGAGCAGCCATGAGCAGGATATCTTTGTGCAAGTAGATAATCACGTGACAGGAAGCCTTGTCTCTGAACTTGGAAAAGTTGGATCTAGCTCTCAAAATCCTACCCTGGGCTTAAATTGTACTCATGCAGAGTTTGCTGCTGAAGTACTGCTTTCTCAACGATTTTTTTTTAAATTTTAATACATATATATATATATATATATATATATATATATATATATAGGAGTATTAGTCATGTCATGTTCAATTAACATTTTTTTTGCAATTTGCAGAGTGAGCAAGTTGATGCACTTTCAGATCCTAATGGAAGCATGGATGGAAGTTCCCCAATGAGTGCTCCTTTTGAAATTGCAAAGGACGGTGGTATGTTCTGTACACTGTGTTTACTTCAACTTTCTTTTGGTTGCTTTTTCCTATATAGCAAAAAATTGCATTAATAACTAAGATTATGAAAGGGGACTGATGCTTTCACTAGGAAAAGGAAGAAAAGAAACCCTCTATCAACTGTAATGAACATTAGGGGCACATTACTAATAGCTCTGTTAGTGACCAAGGTCACATACCTTGCCAATCTCCTTCCTCTTATTACAAGAAGTCTTAATTTTATTTCTGTTTAAATCTTTCAACGATGGCCATAACACAGTTCAACTGAAAAAGGAATTTCCAAAAAACTATATTTTCCCACTGGATTGACAAATTGGACAACATACCTCCCACTGACTTGGTAACCAGCCAGCAGCAGAACAAAAGTTTGAGTATTTACCTCACGCAAAAGTTAAAACTCACAAGAGCGCGCCAAACTGTCCTCGAAAGAACTCTCTCATAACCCACTCAAATTCAATGTCTAACTATGATTTTTTGTACAATTTCAGTTTTGTTGAACGGGAAGTCTTCAGATAATTGCTCATCCGACAACGAAATGGTAAGTTTCTTTATGATGACATCAACAGAAAAAGAGAAACTCCACACTTATGGTCTTAATTTTTCCTGAAAACCTATTTCCATTTTGTCATTCCATTCATTGGGGGTCAAGGACTTTTGGTGTCTTACTACTTTTATAGAAGTATTATCTTTGTTGTGGATATTGCTTATTCAATTAGGATGTCAGAAATATTTTTTTGTTATTTTCATTCCCCATTAACCCTACTAACTAATTAAATGAACAAGTACGAGCTCAGTTTTAATTATTAGAAAAAACGAGGAATGTCTCTTGGATGACCCTCAGAGTAATGTCTCTCTTAATATATTTAGCAGAGGAATGCCGGGCCAGGAGGAGTTTTCATCCTTTGTCGGTACACTTATTTTGCATTCATGGTGTTCGTATGTATTAAATATTCTTCATGATCAGCCCATATCAAGGGTTTTTTATCTTGAATGAGACTACAGTTTTCCTCTTGGTAGTTATTATCAAGGAGTGTTTGAAGGCAAAATCGCTGGTTGGGAAGAAAGAATTGAAATAGTGTAACATCATACATCTTCTTTGAGATTGGAGTGTTTTTCGAGTTATTTTTGTAATTATAAATCTTTAATGTTTAATTTCAATTCTTGAGCCTTTTTGGTAGTAGAGTCATTTACAATTTAGGATGTAACGTTCAATGCTTGAATGAAATATGTTTCTTTCTTTCTTTATTTCTTTCATTTTTTTTCCCTTTCCTTTTTAATTATGATTATATCAATTCCATAGGCAGACACTACTTATCAAATTTCATTTTCCAGAATTTAAGCATTTGGGTCTGAAGTTTTTCTCCGTTTAACTTATAGGATGATCATAACGAGGAGGAGGTTATTCTATGTCCCGATTATGTTGTATATGGAGATTATTATTGTACCGGGCCCCTGTTAACCTTTTCGCATAATGGCATCAAAATCAATGGTTCTGCTGAATATGGAAGCAATGAGTTCCTTAACCTTGAATGGAGAGTTGACGATCTCATTGATGTTGAGTGTCAGTGGTTTCAAAGGGTGAGTGCTTATATATTTCTTTTGAAGCTAAATTTCATGATATTTAAGTTCTCTGTCATGAATTGCCAATTTTTCACAGGTTGAAAATGTGATGATCAAACTCCATGTTATCTCAAAGGATGGCAGTCAATGTGATAATGCGTGTGACACTTCTGGTTAGTGGACTTCTGCAAGACTGCATCTAGTTTTGGAATTAGATTTCAGTTGCATAAAAATTTGTTAGTATTTCAATGCATATCCCTGCTACTTGACAGCATTAGAGGAGCCAGGGTTCAATTCGAAGTATGAAAATGATTTTTTTTAAATTGCAATTCTTTTGACATGGCTAAGAGTAAGAAATTTGGTTACGGTACGAAATAGCTTTTGGCCTAACATTGACCTTCATCTAGAGATTTTCATTTGTTTTTTTTTTCTTGTGTCATTTCATCAGTGTTATCAATAGTGTTATGATAAAAATCTGTCTCTATTTAGTTTTACAAATTCGCATTGCCTATGAACCTGGTTCAGGCATTAAGGAAGTGAAGATTGCTCTGGTTGATTCTTACTGGTCTGAGAAACAACAAAAAATCAGATCTTTGGATTCCAGATACATGGCTATTTGGAACATGTCTCTGAAGTAAGTTATCTTTGTTGCTTTGTCCTTTTGTTGATCATATGTAATTATTGAAAATAGAAGTTATAAACTTTTTATCATGGTCGATGTTAGTGTGAGTATGTTCGTTGTGATTTCTTTTTACCTATACCAGTCTCCCTTGTTCATTGATTTATAGCTTACCTATAAAATGTCTTGTAGTGCGGGGATAGGAACAGACGATGATGATTTATGTGGACAGAGACATTATTTCCCCAAGTGAGTGGAATTTTCTACTTTGTGCTTTTTAAGCTAGTCTTCAAGTTGTGAAAACATTTTGTTAGTTCACTCGAGATTTTCTTTGTACCTATTTCTTCAACTAGATTTTTTCATTTTGAGTAGAAAGATTCATGTTTAAAGCATGTTCTCTATTCTCCTTTATTAGATGTTCTGTACATGAACCCAAGGCCGAGTCTATTATCATGACGGCCTTTTGAGGTTGGCGGTGGCCACTGTTTTGAATTTATGAGTCTGTGTGCAGCTTTGATGAACCTTTTGAAGAAGTTGTATATCCTAAAGGAGATCCAGATGCTGTTTCCATTAGTAAGAGGGATGTTGACTTGTTGCAACCAGAGACGTTTGTCAATGATACAATCATTGACTTCTACATCCTGTAAGTCAAATTTTATATTGATTGTCGTGTTTTGTCTGTGAGAACCACCTCTACGTTCTAGTTATTTGCGGATACTGAATTATGCCTTTTTTTAAATCTGAATTGATTGGTAGGTATTTGAAGAGCCAGATTGAGCCTAAGGAGAAGCATAGATTTCACTTCTTCAATAGCTTTTTCTTTAGAAAGCTGGCTGACCTTGATAAAGATCCATCAAGTGCTTCTGATGGCAGAGCTGCCTTTCTTCGGGTTAGAAAATGGACAAGGAAAGTGGATTTATTTGACAAGGATTATATCTTTATTCCTATAAACTTCAAGTAAGATTTTTCTCTTCAGGAAAGACTTTTGCCTTGTGTGATAAGCTAAACATTACTGAAAGTGAGTACCTTTTCAACTTTATATGGTTTTTGTGACAGCCTTCACTGGAGCTTAATGGTCATATGCCATCCTGGTGAAGTGGCTGGATATAGCAGTAAGTTCTTCATTCATTGGGCCAATTAGAATCTCCCATCAGTCATAACTCATAACTTCTGTCTTGTTACAGATGAAGACCTGGTGAAGTCGAAGAAAGTACCATGTATATTGCATATGGATTCTATTAAAGGAAGTCACGCAGGTCTTAAAAATCTCATTCAAAGGTATTCCTCTGTTTCTAGAGTTTTTATTAAGTTCCAGCTTATTGGTTTGAACAATGTATCTTAGGTATCCGAACGAAAATCCTCTCATATCATGGTCAGTTTGACATTCCATCTAATTTTTGTTTACTAATATAGAAATAGTCTCTTCCTTATTGAGAAGTTTGATGAAGACTTCAGAAGTGTCTTCAGTAATTGCCATCATTGGCATATTGCAATCAACCTCGTTTCATCTTTCTGTTAAGTATTTTTTTTTGTTGCTATAGTAATGTTAGTTTCCATGCGAGGAGGATCCTTGTCTTTACCCAATGCATCAGAAGAGGAAACCTTTGATTATGTATGCAGTTGGTTTTTTTTTTTCTCTCTCTACAATTTAACCTGCAAAAAACTGATAGAGAAGAGCCACCTTAGTTACGTTATACATACACACGAAGGCAGAAGGGCACCAAGGAGGAATAAAGAAAAAGTTGCAGAAGTTAGTTAGTAGTGTAGCGCATGGTGTCGTGTGGGACCCCCACTTTTGTAATAGATTTGTGCGGCAATAGGCCTTGCAGGGAGGGGTTCTTAGCAGTGTTTTGGGGCAGTAGGAAGGGTTATCGTTTTAGTGGTATTTGGTATTCTTAGACTTGTCTGGGAGAGTCCTGGCCTCTCCAAGTGCTAGGGAACCTTGTTTGTTCTGTGTTATTGTTTTTTGTGAACTATCCAAATCTTTGATGATTCTAGAGCAACTTCTTGGCATCAATTCGGAAGAAAAGGAAGAGTCCTATGAGAAGAGCTAGTAAAGAAACTGTGTGGGAGTGTGGAGGAAAAGAACTTTAGAGGTTTAAGAGACTTCTAGAGAGAGAAAGGAAGTCTGGGATTCAATATGTTTCAAGGTTCCACTGTGGAGCCCACTCCATTTTTTCTTGTAACTACAGTTCTTTTTTTTTTAATAATAATTATTAATGCCAATTGGAGGAACATTTCACAAAAAATGTTTCCCTGGGGGGATGGGGTTATAATATTTGATATTAGCAACTTGAATAAGGATCTTCCTTAATCCTATCAAACAAGAAGTATCTTCCGTAATGTTTTCCTCTTTTTGACCAAGAATATACACCGGCAAGTTGATAGCTGCAAGTTTGAATCTAGGCAATAGCTGCAACTTTCATGCTCTATCCAATATGTTAATCTTGCAATGAAGGAGAGCCCAGAAAAAAGAATCTAACATTTTTAGGGATGTTCCATCTCCAAGCAAACTCCGTAGTTCTTTTACATTTGTTATCTTATCCCCATATTCATTTCTCTGTCTCTGCTCTTCTAGATGAAGGTAGTTTTCTATCTCACAAAAAAATTTTTGTAGTAATTTGCTTGCTGATACTGCCTTTTCTCCCTTTATACATTTTGCTTTTTGTTTTTGTTATGGGGTTCTAAAATAAGCCTCCAATAATTCCATCCTACTTCTCTGCATTTATAGTTTCTAAATTTTATTTTTGCAAGTTCTTTCTTGATCACTGATACCTCGTGATGCTGATATGACAGTTATTTGCTGGAAGAATGGAAAGAGAGAAACAAGGAGACACCTGAAGATGTCTCATCAAAATTCAAGAATCTCCGGTTTCTCCCACTTGAGGTATTTTCTGGCTGTTGTCTTCATTATATCAAAATTCAAGAACTATCGGTTTCAGGTTAAAGCAACTATAATGAAGATATAAAATCAAATTAAAAATTAAAAAAACTCATGCATCTGGTTCCGTTGTTGCTAACACACGATGTTTGATATCATGGTCCTACTCTGTTCATTTCTCTTTATCTTTCCTTTTTTGGGGGGTGTCTTACATGTCATATTCCATGCCAGCTTCCACAGCAGGAAAATTCATTTGATTGTGGGTTATTTTTGCTCCACTACCTGGAACTCTTTCTGGCAGAAGCTCCTCTCGATTTCAGTCCGTTCAAAATCTCCAAGTTTTCAAAATTTGTAAGTTGTCCGCTTTTCACTTTTTTTGTTGGGTATATTTCGACTTATAATAACTTTTCTTTTCTAGTCAACCTATTTGATTTGTTTTTCCTAACAATGCTAATGATCACAAAGTAATTTTCTTAGTAAATTTTGTGAGTTGCAGAAAAAATGCACGAGATTAGGTTAAATAGGTTTATTCCTTATGGTTTATCTCTAATTTTTCCATGCTTTTCTTTATTGACATTGTCCGATGCATTCTTCTTCTCATTTTCTACATTAAATTTCTTATCAATCAAATCCCGTTTCAAATTGATTGTGGAAATTATCAGCCTCGGAGCCTTTCACATGTATCGAATTTTCACCCTTCAACATTCTAAGAGATCTAATTTCCCTTGGGGGAGATTGAGAGGGATATTCTCTTTGTTAACTGGACTAGCTAGATGTGTAAAATGCGTAGTTTTGTGCCATTTCACCTTCATAATCGAAAACATTGATCGGCACAGGTCAACTTGACACAGCATGTTCAAATGATTCGTACCGGGTCATAGGTCAACTGACATATGTCACAGTTTTGAGACTTAAAAGATAAATTTGAACATTTATTTTTTCAAAAAAAGGGAATGTTAAAAAGACAAAAATATTTTCTGCGTAATTCCTTGTGTATTCTTCCAAAGTTTCTGGAGTTCACAGAAAGAGTGTGAAAAAAAAGATGTATGAAGGATAATGTCTGAAGAGTTGGTTAATCTTCCATGGATTGCTTTATATTTTTTGAATTAGGCGGTAATAATTTTGTTTTTTCTAATGAATCTCTCCAGCTTAATGTGGATTGGTTTCCACCTGCCGAGGCTTACCTCAAGCGAACTTTAATACAGAGATTAATTTTCGAAATCCTTGAAAACCGATCTCGAGAAATGTCCGCAGCTGCTTGCAGTGATGAACTCCTGTCTAAATTTCCGTCAAATAATGAGGATGAAACAGGTGCGGAGCTTCTTCCGGAAAGAGGAAGCCCAGCAGTGACATGTAATCACAATTTGTCAAGCTCACAAGCTGTTGATGGGATTGAAATCACTCTATTATCTGAATCTTCAAGTAGACATAACCAGTTTATGGACGGTTCTGGCTTGGTTGTCAGAGAACTATTTGAACCAGGCGCCTCTAATGGATCATTACTCGAGCCCTATCAATCTTTTGCTCAGACATCATCGTATTTTGATGCAAATGGTACTGTGCTGGAGGTATGTTAGCTTCTTTTATTGTCTACTAAGAAAATTGGGAGTATTATTTATTTCTGATAAGCACAAGCTCATTGATTTTAAAGTTTAAGGAAACAAACTCGTCACAGCAAGTCCATGCAATCTCTTCCTGGTGTAGAACTAAATGACTAGCTTTCCATTGATTAATCTCAATCGTTTACAAGAGGATAGTAGTATAGACTACTAAAGGTAGAACGGTTTTAACTGTTAAAGCTGACAACCATTAACCCAGTTACAACCTTTTAACTAATTACCAACTAGCCTAACCGGTAGCTTAATTTACAAGGAATTCCCCTGCATCACTTCCACTTCGAGTTTTTACATTTTTGTGTTTCATCACATGGGCAAGTGTGTATATATATTTAGTTAAATTACAAGTTTAGTCTTTGAACTTGTAGTGGTGTGTCAATAGGTTCCTAAACTTTCATGGTTCGTGAATTAAAAAAAAAAATGTCTAATAGGTCGATGACACTTTTAGAACTCGGGGACTTATTAGAGAGACCTATTACGCAACTTTGAAATTTTGAAGGCTTGAACTTGTAACTTAACCTATATATTTCAACTATGCTCAGAAACAATGGATTATGCTGATGTCAATATAAAAAACATATTTCCTTGCTATAGGAAAAATATAAGGAACATATAGGAAAAATAAACAACATATTTCTTTGCTATTTTCATGAAGGAATTGTAAGTATGCTTGCAGCTCTGATTCTATATATTTTTCTCTCACTAATAGGAAGATGCAGACCCAGAAACTGGAGACGGTTTCATGTATTTGGAACAGGATGGTTTACAGCCCATTGATGTAATGGCACCTCAAGCTTGTCCTTTTCCGTGTTCGTCGAGAGGACTTGAATCCAACGCTGATTTTGATTTATGCATGTCTATTCAACCAGAGCATGGTGGGGGCATTGCCTCGTCTCCATCTCCGTCTCCATCAAGTCACTTGGATGATTTGGAAGATGTGGGAATCACTGAAAGTAGCGATGTTAGGGAAGCAAGTCCTTGTAATAAAGAAATGAACCGAAAAAGACCTCTACCGAATGAAGTCCTGGAACACGTAGCAGCATGCCCCATTTCTGCCCCTACTTCAATGCAGGATGCAGATGCCATTGTCATCTCCCAAGATACTAATGATATTTGCGAGGAAATGGAAAACAACGGTTCACAAGAGACTCTTGTTGCTTCACCACACCTAAATGAAGACCTAACGACCAAAACAGACGTCGAACATGATCCTGCGCTGGTAGTTGCTTCTGTTACAGAGGTGGACTTACACGAACAACCCGCTGCTAAGAAACCGAGGCTTTCAACACACCCTGAAGAAGCGAGCAATGGTCTCAGAGAGAGTTTGTCAGATGACAAGGAGTTATAAGATGAAAGAAAAGGTCGGTTTCTTCTTTGCTTTCATATTTGTAAATGATCATGTGATTAGGGTTTTGCTTGCCATGCTGTCAATAGTGTTATGGCTCCATAATCAAACTTAATTAATAGGATACCGATAGAAAATTCATTTGGGTAAGGTTGATGTAGTACCCATGGCAGTTATATCAAAGACTAGTTATAATATTCCATCTCCAGTCTCCACTTCATGCTTCTCTTCTCTCTCTCCCTCTACTTGTGCAGAATCAAAGATTGCTCAAATTAATTATTCTACTGATGTAAGTTCCTCACCAAAATCAAAGCATATTCTAGTAAATAGCGTTAATGTTATTGCTATTGTATTGCCATAGGAATGAAAACAACTTGGCTACACACAATTGAGTACAAGTTCTTTTTATCTCATGTTGTTTTCAAAATTTCTATGCAATTATAGAACGAGAAACATGAATTGTTACAAAATGCTTATGGTTTTTTCTATTTCAAAAATTGGAAATAAAAATCATTATTTTCCTCTCTTGTTCAATTAGTTTCATTTTGTTCTCTCTTTTTTTTAGAAAATGTCTCAAAATTTCTACGGCAAATTGAGCCGATGGACTACTCGAGAACTTTTATATCTAGTCAAATATTTTATTACAGAGAGTTCGTGAATGTTACACAGACTTATTATAATCCAAAACAATATAAAATATAGCAAATATTGTCATATCTTTCCCTTCAAATGAAAAGAAAATATGTAGACTAATAGATGAAGAGCAATGACATGACTTCATCGTAATTTGATCATATTTTTCTATTAAAATAACTAAATAAGATATAATGTATAGTATAACATCATCATTTTATTTTATTTTTCATAATATTATTTTTCATAATACTTGGTGGAAGTGCTAAAAAACACTTCCAATCAAAGAAAAAAGCTAAAACATATTTTTAATATTACATTACATTGGGCACTTAATGCTTTTATTTTCCTACTTGGCTATTTATTTCTTATACTTCTAGAAACATAATGGTTAAATATTGAATTAAAAATTTGATCAAAAAATAATTTACATATGAGAATATTTCTCATATGAACATGCACGTTTATATAATTCTAACCACATGTCATACCGTCAAATAATTATGGATTAGATTAATTGAAGTGCAAGTAAACATGAATCATATTGTGTGAAAAAGATCAACTCTACCTTCATCGATTTATCGTAAAAAATAAATAAATTTATTTAATAATAATAATAAAGCATGAGCAGCACTATGTATTAGATATTGTTATTTAATTAGCCTAACTACATGTTTAGTTACTTACTAATTATTCTGTTACTTTATTCTACACACGTGTGTGTATATATTATTATTTTATTTTATATTTGAGAACGCGTATATAATATAATGTACTGATTTAGAGAAATTGAAGGAGAAATGCAGAAATTTTTTGCCACGTCGCCCTTATACCATGTTTAGGCAAACGAAAAAAACTGTTTCCGCTCGCCCAACTCCGAATCCCGATCTTCAAATTCCTGTTCAACATCTGGCCTCCATGAAAGCAAAAATGGAGCTCCATTACTACAGCCAACGGAATCAGTCTCACAGAGCGGCTCTTGCTGCAGCTTTTCTTCTTCTCTTTCCTCTTTTTTTCCCCAATCTCTTCCATCCCTTGGGCCGCGCTTCGCCTTCCTTATTCTCTGTACGTTCAGGTTCCATACCTACCCTTTTCCTAGGTTTTGTGAGTCATTCGTGTTTATTTTTTACTGGAAAATCATGATGGTCCATGCTTAACGTACTGGACTGTTTTTCAGAGCAATAATTCTGCAATTCTTCGTAAAATGTGTTTGTATTAATTTGTTCGGACTGTGATGTTAAAATGAAGTAAAAGAAGCGATAACTCCTAATCCTCTTTCTTTTGAGGTATTCTCTGCCATTGTTTTGGTTGGAAAAGCATTTTCTACGCACATTTCTTTTGTCCACGGTTCTTATTTTTCCTTTTCCCCGTATCCGATAACCGCAGATCGATATTTTTGTATCCTATTATTTTATATAAATGTTAGATCAAGATGTTCTTCTATATAACAGGAATGGATTTCCCCGAAACCGATGCACTCGATTCTACTAAACAGTGCTTTGCATCGTATCACGGTTAGTAATCCTTAAATTGCTTGTTTCTTTTAACTGTCTACAGTTTTTTAGAATGGAAGTATTTAATCATTTAGGAAAGTTGTTTTTTCACTATGGTGTTTCTTTATACAATTGTGTTTGGCATTCCAGACATTAGAAGACAAGGGAAAGATCTGGTCTCCATTGCCAAATCAAGGATGGAAGCCTTGTGTGAAGCCTACAAGAGAGGAATGTGAGTGCTACGTGCTTAGGTCTGGGTATTCCTTATTCCAGTTTATCACAAGGATTTATGAGCAGGATTCTTCACAACTCTTTGCTTCTGCACTTTTTAGATATGGCTCCTTCCTCATATACACGCATCTGATACCATGCAGTAGCACCAAGAAAATCTCAAGGTTACATCCAAGTGTTCCTAGATGGAGGATTGAATCAGCAAAAAATGGGGGTATGTCAATGTTATTCTTTATTATTATTATCATCACCATCTTCTAAATTATGGATGAAAATGCAAAACAAATTTCAATTCAATGACAGTTTATGCCTTTAGGCTTCTTTAGCTGTACAATAACTTAGCCCCCCGCACACACACCCCATATGAAAGATCTGTGATGCAGTTGCTGTTGCCCGAATACTGAATGCGACATTGGTAATTCCTCATTTTGAAGTTAATGCTGTTTGGAAGGACTCAAGGTACTATAATGAGTCAACGATGCTATCTTTTTCATTGTCAGCATGTCTTCCCGTAAAGGAGTTGCTGAAAGATTTTTCGTTTGGCCAGTTCGTTTGCAGAAATTTTTGATGTGGATCACTTTATTGATGTCCTGTCTGATGATATATCAATAGTCAAGGAGCTGCCTATTGAATACTCATGGAGCACAAGGGAATACTATGCTACTGGAATACGTAATACAAGAATTAAAACAGCTCCTACCCATGCTTCTGCAAGCTGGTATTTGGAAAATGTCTTGCCTGCATTACAGAGGTAAGCTCCTGCCCGTACTGAGGATGTTCGGATTCAGGAAATTCATTTGTTGACTATTGCGCTTTTTTTTTTTTCTTTCCATTTCACTTTTCTCAAAGGATGAAAAATGAGATCACAAGTGAGACATGGGTTGTGTATAGGGGTCCATTTTCTCAAGTGTGTTGCTCACATCATCTGCTATTTGTTTTATTGGTATTCTACATTTGGGTAAAAACTACATTTTCAAGAAATGATTTGTAATGACTGTTTCTATTGATAACAGCTATGGGATTGCTGCTATTGCTCCTTTCTCTCATCGTCTGTCCTTCAGCGACTTGCCTATTGAGATTCAGCATTTGCGTTGTAAAGTCAACTTTAAGGCATTAACCTTCGTTCGGGGCATCATTGAATTAGGAGAGACCATTGTCAATCGCCTTCGTTACCCTTATAATGGAAATGAAATAGAAGGAACTGAGAATCTGCCGCAGGATGAGAAGAGAAAATTGGAAGGTGGGAAATTTGTTGCATTGCATCTCCGATTCGATAAGGTCTGTGCCTTCCCCGATTGTTTTAAGGAATGCTGAACTGCGATCTCCATGAATTTACCTTCAATATCAGAAGTTCGAACTCATTCTAATGTTTTCTTCAGTTAATTCATAGTGCTATCATTACTGTTCTATAAGGAGTCTTTAAGATTTGCCTTACAAATTGTAATGTTGGATGATATAGATAGTGACGGTGCAGGTTGGCAACAGGGTTGCAAGGGGTTCTACGCTCTGGATCAATTTAATGGCTATTTCCACATACTTTCTTTGTCAATAAAAAATGATCTGCCATATTTTTTTGTTCTTATAATTTATCGTGGACAAGGACCAAAAGTTCACTTAATTAGAGCTACTTTGACTATTGGCCTTTCATTCTAATATGGTGTTTTACAGCTTCATGTCCAGTAGTATTGTGATGTCATCTTTACCAATTAACCTTGCAGGATATGGCTGCTCATTCAGCTTGCGAATTTGGTGGGGGTAAAGCCGAGAAACTGGCTCTTGCAAAATACCGTCGAGTGATTTGGCAGGGAAGGGTTCCAAACTCACAGTTCACTGATGAAGAATTGAGATATCAAGGACGTTGCCCATTGACTCCTGAAGAGATAGGATTGCTGCTAGCTGCTCTGGGGTTTGATAATAGTACACGTGTCTATCTTGCTATACACGAGGTCAACTTTTTTCTGTATAAGGAATGTGGAATTGATTTATCGATAGGAATCTAAGGGAGTTGATGACTGTGTGATAGTAAGCTTCTTTTAACAGCTTCTAAGGGACGTTTCTCTTTCAGGTTTATGGTGGGGAAGAAAGGATCTCAACTTTGCGCAACTTATTCCCCCTCCTCGAAGATAAGAAGGGCCTTACCTCATCCGTGGAACGTGCTGGTATAGCGGGCAAAGCATCATTATCAGCTGCAGTTGATTATTATGTGAGTATGCACAGCGACATCTTCATTTCTGCCTCGCCTGGAAACATGCACAATGCTCTGGTGAGCCTCCCACCCTTGCTCTCACTATGCTTTACATTGAAATTCTATGAGAGAAATGTGATAGCTACCATCAATACAATATGCATACGTAAACAACGTGCGAGTCAATTATGCGTAATCGATAACAAATCTGAAGTACATTGCCAAAATTGCTTGAAAATTCTATCTATGGGATGAAAGAAAGTGAATTGTTTTCATTTAATCAGGTGGGACATCGGACATACTTGAACATGAAGACTATAAGACCAAACATGGTACTGTTGGGACAGCTGTTCCTCAATAGGAGCATGGAATGGGCAGAATTCTATCAGGGTGTTGTGGATGGACATAAAAATAGACAAGGGCAGATCAGGATAAGGAAAGAGAAGCAATCCATATATACTTATCCTGCTCCTGATTGCATGTGCCTTCATCACTCCACATGATCTGTAAATTTTCTTTACTGAGCTCCAAGTTTTGGTTCTAAACCTTATACAGTTTATTTCATAGGAGGATCTCAATAATGAAATATCAATCTTAAAAGTCGGTTCCTGAAACATTCCCATGATTTGTTGTTGTATCATCAAGTTATACCTTTAGGTTTTGGTTATTGTATGACCTTGGTAAAAGCATATCATCTCAACTAATGATGGACTAATCCTGAGATGTTGTCTAACTAAAAGACAGTGAAACATACGAAGAGGTAAAATTGATAATGGCAACTTTTTTTTCCTTTTTATTTTTTTGGAGTCAGCGTAGCGTAGACTTCCATTGGGCAATGATATGCCTTTGGTTCAAAATACAATATATTTTTTTCTTTTTACACTAGCGAGCCTGCAAAATGCTTGCTTAAAAATTTAGCCGTGCATTTCATTTTTGCATCGCTTCAAAAATCAGGAGGCCATACTGGGAGAAGACGATCCCTATGGCTACACTCATCAATCATTTTTCGTGGCGCTTGGAACTGCAGGCATCTGGCCATCTTTTATATCCTTACTATTGGGAGGAAACTCGCTCCCATTCCTCTGTGTGGCCATTTCTTTTGAATCTGCAGGAGAGTGAAAGGGAGATGGATCCAAATCTTCATCAATTGGAAGAGTTCTTTTGGAGCCTTCCAAGGCAACTCCCAGGACTATATTCTCCTCCAATGGTGGCCTGGTCACTGATGATGCAGAAAGCTTCTCACCGTCTTGTTTATTCTGCGAGCTAGAGAAAGGAATATGAGCTTTCTCGCTGCCGGGTTCAGAGGCTGAGGATGGCCTTTTCGGCGAAGTCACTCTTGGTGTAGTATCCTTGGAGTTCAGTCCCATTAGATCTTTCTTTTCTCCTTTAATCTCAGGCTTTTCGATACTGCTTTGTTCTGAAGTTTCGGGTGCTAGATTGTTCTGGGTCTGTGTGTTGGACATTGGCCCTGTTGAAGGCTTGGAAGTGGCACCAGATGGAGAAGTTGATTTTTTATCATCCATTGATCCAGCTCCTGCATCGGAGGGTTTCGTTCCTGATGTTGAGACTGCCTCTTGCTTGGCTTCCTTTTCTTCATTCAATGGGCGAGCGGGACGACTAGAGACTTTGGCTTTATCGTCGCCGTTGATTTTATAAGATGGCTCAATAAGAAGCAGAGGACGGTTAGTAGCTGCTCCAGAACGAGGAGAATACATGGTCTCGGAAAACGGTACATTTTCCAAGTCAGCAGCCTCACTGTATATTTTCTGAACAGTGCGAATTGGCGTGGCAAGCCGGGCCCTATGATGGCTGATAACCCTGAGGAGATCCAAGAGAATTGCCTCCTGCACAATCAATTAGCAAATGAGGTCGAACCCTATTCCATTCACAGCCACATTTAGTCCTCATGAGAAATTATTCGAAGGGCTAAAAAAAAGGGTGTGGAGCATGCTGATCTACAGGAACAAATTAAATTCGAGGAGCCAAAATACAAGAGGGAGAAATCAAAAGAAAAGTAGCAGAACCTATATCAGTACCGAGAATGTAGCTCAATAAAAGCTACATATTGTCACAGCAATGGTGAAAGAGCATGATTATTGAGACATTGAGAGCATCTGAATATTAACTGTATAGTTTTGAAACACCAAAAATGCAGTCGTACCTTGACACACAGGTATTCTTCAAAACGAGAAGTTTTCACAAAGCAAGAAACCATAATCTGCAGAAAGAAGGAAGTTGGAAGTACTTTTTCAGGCAAAAGGATAGGCCAATCAGTTCCATCAAAATGGTAAAAAAAATGGCAATAATATGAATCAAAATGCTTGGTCACTGATATAAAATATTCTAATAAATGGAAATATCATCTCTTAAAGAAATCACCATGATAGATGCAGCATGAGATCTTATGAAGGGTAGTTCAATTATCACCTGTATCAATAGCTCCCTCACCCACCACTTTACTCTCTTCAAAAATACCTTTTATTTTTCCCCTTCATTCTACCTCCAACCCCCAAATTGTAAAGTTTTCTTTCCTTTCTCCCATTTTCTCCTTTAATATCTTGTTCGAGCTGCCAAAGTTTTGAGATTGATTGATCATAATCTCAAGAACCACAGATTCTTTAGGAAGACACTACCCGGGGGCACCTGCACCTTTTACTTTCAAACCCCTTTTTGCAACCTCCAACTTTCAAGGGGCTTGTTTTGTCGTTCCACTTTTGGACGTAATTCTTTTCATTTTATTTTATGTTATGGAAAGTATTTCATATGTCTCAGGTTTCTTATAAAAGGGAAAAAAAAGGAAAAAAGAAAAAGAAAAGAAGAGAGAGAGAGAAAGAAAAGTTCGTTACTATTCAAAAAGGAAAAAAGATAAAGATAAAATTTGCCCTCAATACCAGGGAGGTCACCATTACCAACAATATTTAAGTTCCCCTTGTTGATTGACACTCAATTTGGCCGATTACACCATGTCAATTGTTTTGAGTATAAAACAGAAGGATTAAGAAAGGTAAAGAGCCAATACATACCATAAGAGCCTGATTTTCAGGATTGATGTTATCCAAAAAGATTCTACGGTGTAACCTTTGCTGTTCCACTTGAGGATTTTTGGACAAAACTTTACGCATATCAGCTACAATATACTGGACATTGAAACCAAGTTCATATTAGATGGCATAGAATGAAAAGAAATTGTGGTAGACAGGTGTGAAAGACAAACCAATGTTGATTCTCACATTAATCTTATTAACATCTAAGTGGCTGATGGCAAGATGGGTCTTGATACGCCAATGAGTCTTCTGGGTAAGATTCCGCACAATACTGACAGTAAATTTGTGATTTGGAATATGGACTGCTTCACGATCATCGCCTCGGATAATGGTTGGCGACCACCAACCAACGTGCTTGCATTAGGAACATGCATGTCAGAAAGGACAGTCAGCCAAAACTTGAAGAGAAATTCTGAATCAAATGGATATGATTTTCCTTCTGTTCTTATCAACATAAAGATTTTATAAGGGGATGGTGATGGTAAAAAGAACACAAACCTCAACTGTTCCAGAGACTTCGTATCCATCAATCTTTGTCTGAATCCATTCATTTACCACAAATGGTCTTGTTGCATGAATCATTACACTTGAAAGAAAATTAGTAAATATCTGAATAATAAAAAATATGGAGTAAGTTTCTCTGGTAAAAGATCGTCTAGTGCTGTGAATTGTAATGGCATGTTTTACAATGAACACCAAGAATATGTAAGATCCATAATTGCAGCATTTATAAACGACAATATGTAGGAGAGCAAAGATTTACCTCACGACCAGCAAGAGTAAGCAATACAGTTCCAAGACCCCCAGCTGTGAGCCACTTCTGGGTAGAAAACCCGAGCAACTCCATGAACAATGAAAGGGCGGCAATCCAGACTGCAGTATAAACAGCTTTCCCAGCAAAATCAAAGCCCATCTATCAAAAAAAAAAGAAGGCAGAAAATAAGGAAAAAACTAGTTTAAGGAAGACTAACTCAAGATATCCAAGTGATGTAGGCGTGTATGGGTCAACTTTGTAACTGTTCTGATTCTATTTTGATTAGTTACTAGGGTTAACCTACGGCATAGCTCTCCATCACTAAGTTGTCCATTCAAGGATATTCTAACCAGAAAAGTTATTATAACGAAGGGTATCCATTTATTATTTTTGTCCTTATTCTAACCGGAAATTATTATTAGCAAGCAGGCGTCAACTAGTTTGGATTTAGAACTGTTAAAAATGTACAAATGACAAAAGGAAACATGAGAAGATGAAATTAGAAAAGAAAATCATACATTTCTTGCATCACTTGAGTCATTTGATTCAGTAGCGAATTTTTGTACTTGTTGAATCAAGCTGCATCAAGGTTAAGGCCTGTTAGAATCAAAATGCATGATATGGTCCAATGAGACGCATAGAATTAACAAGGGTAAATAATCCACACAAGCATGTATAGAGAGAGAATTATGAAGAATTAAAATAATTTTAAAAATATCAGCCGCCCAATCAGTTCAGCAAACATTTTAATTGTAACTCAAAATCACTCATTCAAAAATCTCAAAGGAAAATCTGAAGCCCCAGAATAATGCACCTTGATATACAATAAGCGAATGCCAGAACAGTAGACAAAGATCGAACAAAATTCAGAAGTCGTTGTTTTACGGCCTGACTGGCTACTGAAGGTAACACTACTGGATCCAATGCCCTGAAACAAACCTGCTATGGTTAGATCAGAACAAGATCAGCTAGCCCTAATAGTGCAGTTAAAAGAACACCTGCAGATCAGTGTAGCTCCCGTCCACAGCAGTAAAGGCTGAACATAAGAAGTCGTAACGTAGTATGTACTACTTTTCTTCCAACTGCCATCTGGCTCCTACAACAAAATTTTCTCAAGACAATTAGGTGATTGCTCTGCTGGCTTAAGAAGAGAAGAATTAAATATTAGGATCAGTACATGAAGAAATAGAACCCTCCCAAAACGCATAAGAGGCCCAACACCCCAAGCAGCAAAAGCAATGATACAAGCTGCTGGAATCAATTTAAGTAACAGAGGACTTCCACGTAAAGCCCCATAAGATCTGAAAGAAAATCCCAGATGTAATGAAATCAGTATTGATAAGCATAGAGAACTACGGTGACAAAAAGAAACCACATACGATTAAAAGTATTCGGTACATCTCAAGCTCAACAACCAAGCTAATATTTTGTCCAAAATGATGTTAAATAATATTTAAGATGCAAGTTTACAAACTGCAAGATTTGCAAAACAATCAATGCATGCAAAATGCAGCAAGATCTACTAGCTTATCAAGATTAGCATATGACAGATTACAATTTTATGAAGATGAGTAATAGCACTAGGACTTCTTAACAAGTTCTACGATGTGGGAGAACCTAGCAATAGGAAACGTACTTTCTTTCCTCCACTATAGCACTCCATATCAAAGGAAATCATACCTCGTCAGAACCACAGCTGCAGATTTTAGAACAGCAGTCCCAGCTCCGCCACCTGATTCCAGAACAGATCGACACACAAAAAAATTTGCTCTGGAAGGCACAGGATACCTTGGGCGACTCACACTGCGTAACAGCTGAAGACTTCCAGAATCATACCTCTGAAAATTAAACAAAGAAAGAGCTCCATAACTTCAAACCTTAAAATAATATGGCATTCTTCATACTTACGCTGACCAAGAAAATGCAGAGGAATTTATGAGCTTCCGCATAAACCAAGAGAGCATCGATTTTTTTCTTTTTTTTATAATAACCCTTCTACAGATAATCCTTAACTAGACAGAAAGATGCAGCAACTAAAAGAATTTATCAAATTTCAAATGCATTTAAGCCATACCAAACCGTGTGATGTAGGAATGATGGTAACAAGGTGTAGACGAGTCTTTCCCTTGACACTCTGAATTTTAAGTCAAATCAAGAAATGAAAATTAGAGCTGTAGCCTTTGATGAAATTGTCAGACAAAATTTCATGAGTAACATACAATATCTAACTTATTGCATCTATGAACACTTTGAATCCCCAATTTATGATAAAATTGGGTAGAGCCAGCATGAACCATTGTTGGGTTGAGCTGAAAACAGCACTGAGCAAGGACAGTATCGTAATACAGATTAAGTTTAGTTTGTACTACGAACCCCAAAAATGTGTTTCAATTATGCAGTGAGAATGTATAGTACCTGTCATAATCAATAGGTAATTTTAGTACACAGGTAGCAAGTGAAAGAAAACAATCTACTAAAAAATTTCACATAGAGATCGTTCAGGTTTCCCCAATAAGAAATTCACCACGAACTCGATGAAAGAGGACGTCGGAAAGATTGAATCTAATTATTTGGATGTCCATGATAAAGAAGCTTAAATTAAGGAGATCGTCGAAAATAACTCAAACTGACAATAAGTAATATTGTAATCACACAGACACCAGACACGAGTATCTTAATGAAGAACAAACAGCTCTCTGTCGGGAAAAATAATAATAAACAACTCCCGGGATCATAGTTTTCAATTCCCTGCAAATATTAAATTTCGCGTCCTGACATCATCAACCACTAAATTGAATTTTAATTTTAAACAACCATAAAGAAAGAAACCCTAATATGTTTTTCAAATTCCCTAATCCTTCGGTACATTACCGCACAAAGCTACTCCACAATCTTGTGTACAAAATATTTGCAGATAATTACAACAGCACGGAACAGATACAAGTTACATTATCAATAATTCAACAAACACGAACCGATAGAAACTTCAACTTTCCTAGGAAACAAACAGAAAGCGTCTCGGGGAGAAATTCACGTGCAACTCCGCAACGACTGAAACGAATATCTGCAAGATATTACCCTGAGAAGCAAAATAACGGAAAACTTTCTGAAAAATTTCCCTCGGATTTGCCCTTAATGGAAAACCTACCATCGCCAGGGTAAACGAGAGGAGGTCCAAATAGAGGATGCTTCCGCTAAATTGCGCTGCACCGTACCGTCGGCGCACGGGTTGTAGGTGCCAGCGTGGACCAATCAGAATGCAGCGCCGCGGCGTCCGTCCAATCTGGAAATTACAGATGGCTTTTTTAATTTTACTGTGTAGATTTATGTGGCGCCTAGAGCTTGCTCTCGCGGTGCGCGTGTCGCTTCTGGTTACCGCTTGCCCACATCTTCTTTCCTTCCATTGATATTTTTGTCTATCCACTCCCACCGCTACGTACGATTAAAATAATATTTGTATGATTATATTTGGTTTCTTTTTTACTTTTTTTAGAGAAAGATTTGGTTAGAATTTATGAACCACGATGAATAGTCTATACTTTTTAGTTTCCAACGCATAACAAATCTTCTCTTAAATTTTTTATTTTATTCATTTATCAATTTTGATGGCTTAGATACAATGATCTAACATGTGATTGAAATGTTGTATCTAATATGTCTTTATCATATGAGATCAGACCAATATTTGTGACATACTGAGTATCATAGAGGGACAAAATTATTTAATAAAACAATGATGCGTTGTTGGGTTCGAAATAAACAAATTCTTGTTTCCTTAGTTTCTCATTAGTTTTATATTACAAAATTTTGTCGAGACTTGATATGTTATAGTTCAACTAATTAAAACATATATCACATCGATCGAAATGTAAAATATTTGATTTTCCTCTTCACTTCTTGTTTAACTATATAAAAAAAAAACTTATGTGTTATAAGGTATTACATTTTACCGTGTAAATAAATAAATACATTTTGTTTTTTTTGTTCACCTGATAGCACAAATAATTTGAAAATGAGAACTAACACAAATAATTTATGAATGAAAGTGAAACAATATTAAGTTTAAAATTTTGAAGAGTTATCAAAGGAGACAATGCATCTACTAAACGATTTTATTTTCGAAACAACTTGCTTTGCGGATTCTGGACGGAGAAAACTACGTCGTTTTGACTAGGTACAGTCGAATATTGGAACGGATATTCGAGAACGGAGTCAATTCCGGTTGCCGGTGGATAATTGGTTGAGTGTTCCAAGTGTCCAACCAACAAGGCTAGTAACGTAATTTAGAGCCAAGTTCTCCGTTACTGCTTAATGGGTCTGTCTGTCGACGTCGTCGCTTCACTTTCGGCCCCGTTGGAATATACAGTCGTCGACACGCATCCCATAGCTATCTTCTTCTTCCCAAATTCGCCGCCACCAAACAAGTCTGATTTACTTCTATCTCTTTTACAGATTTTTTTTTTTATTGAGTTATAAAATAATAGGGAATGTTGATTAATGAGCAGGCTCGAGCACATTTTTTGAACAACTATATAAAACATATAATTTTGAGGTGAATACGGGAAATGCATCTGTTTAACTTTTAAATTATTATTTTGACTTCACGAATTATTTTTTAATTTAATAAGATTTATTATATAAATAAATATTATTTGAAAGTTAATATGAAAACATGGGAATAAATAAGGAAAAAAAAATCAAATGAGGTCAGACAAAATAATAAGAGGCTTAAATTTGATCGAAGGTGAGAAGACTTGTATATATATGAATCAAATAAGAAGGCCATAACTTGGCACGTGGAGGTTGAACGGTCCAATTCGGTCAAGGCCAACTCGGGGTCGACGCTAACTAGTTCTCGGTTGCCGGTCAAGAACTCTGGCAATGTCTCTTCAACTATTATGCACAACTCGACCAAAACCTATTTTACCTTAGTGAAATCAAAAATAGGCTGACAACTCCTCGATCAAACATCTAGCCTACAATAAAAAACACATGTCACAATGTTAGATTTAGTAGGAATATCAGGATTCAACTTCTATAAATCAGACTAACTACGTTGAATAACTTTACTTTTTATATTCAGCTATACCCAATACTAACTTAAGCATTAGTGTTTAGCGTTTCCGTTTCTTCATTTGATGTAAATTTGACAGAATCCAACATGAATTATGAGGATTCAGCAACATTCTGGTGAATGCCATATGAATAAGAAGGTAAACTAAGATCATAAATTACATAAATAATAAAATTAATTATTTCGAGCATAGTTTAATTAAATAATATAGGTAAACAATTTGAGCCTCCACCTCGAAACTGTGAAATAAAACAAAACCATATAAATTATATAATCTTATTTTTTTTCTCATTTTGAGTTTTTTATCAAATTTTAAAACAATGGTATAACACAGTCACGCCAAAAGAATTAGATACCAAATTTATTATTTAACACGATAATTTTTTTTCTCGAGTACACAAAAAAAAAAAAAGGACGGGTAACCCGATACAATTGAACTTTATATATTTAAAAAAGTCCTAACTTTTTATTTTTGATCTCTGATCAACGTTACAGCGATTAGACCATATTAAACGATTCAACCGCGCGTGAACTTGAAGTGAACCTCCCCGTCAACAGCGGGCAGTGGCACGTGTGATGAAACACCAAGTCTGACGTGGCAAAATTGAATTTGAGCCAATTTCCCTCCCTCTCAAAATTCAATCGCACCATCTCTCTCAAGAGCAATAAAAAGATCAGTAAAATGAAATGATCATATTTCACCTCACATTCACAACACAACAGAGCAGAACTCTGTGTCCGCAGCTTGCGAGGTGAGCGCCGATTAGGGCTTTCAGTTTCGATTTCTTAGCTATTTTCAATCTCAGAGCGATACATTGCCTCAACAAGCTGCCGCCGGCTGCAGAAAATGAGGAAGGCAAGCCGTCAGTCGAGGCAAACAGGCGAAGCCGATGTCTCGTCATCGCCGGTTACATCCGCTACGGACAACAAAGACTACGAAAATAGAGTTCAAGAGCTCGAGCGTCAAAATGAAGCGTTTCAGGTTGGTATCGTTTTCGTACTATTATCCACATCGTTGGATCGCTCAGAAAATTCGGAGTCAACAATTGGACCATGTTCCATTGTTTGATGTATATTGGTAACGAAATAAGCAGCTCGGAAGCCAGTGACTCATGCATTATGGAGAAAAAAAATATCGGTTGACTTTTTTCCCGTTTTTGATTCGTGGCGAATGCTTTTCTATGAAAAATCAGCGGTGCTCTAGTTTTAATGCTCGCGGAAACAGTGCAGCACCATTGCTGTTGATATGTCTGGCAGATGTTAAAGTGAGATTATATGGAATAGCGTTCCTGTTCAGGATCTGAAATTCGATTTTGCTTTGTTTCTGTAACTATAGTACTGCAACTTTCGATTTTTGTGTGTGTGTGTGTGTGTGTGGATTATTTTGATTACTTGATCTACAGAATGTAGTGCTTCACTCAGTTGGATGAAATTGATAAGAACACGAGAAGCAGAATTGCAATGGAAAAAAGAGTGATAGGATAAGAGTATATTTGTTAGCATACTTTAGAAATTATTTATTCGTTTCAAGAGAGAGGACGTGGTTTGTTGCTCGTTTCATTTCTATAGTTTATTTTTTCAACTAAGCACATGGACATGGCTTTCTCATTTTTCTGCATCTGGAAATTGGCAGAAGGAAATTAAGGATCTAAAAGACAGATTAGAAATTGCTTCATCAAGTGCTGCAAATAGTGCTAAAAAACTCAGAGAAGGTTATATTCAGAAGTTGGATGTCCTTGGAGATCAGGTGATACGCGATTTTTTTTGGTCTCATCTTGATAAGCATGTAATTAACTGTTACGATGTTAAATTCTTTCAGGTTACAGAATTGAAGAAAAAACTTGATGCTCAATCTCAGCTTTCAATCAGAAGGCAAAAAGGCGAAGGAGCAACTAAACAGACAGATCTCGAGATCACGAGTTTAAAGGCTCAGAAGGTGATATTTTACTGTGTATTAAAGCCCTTCCGTTGCCTTTTCCGGTCTCCGTCCATTGACAACAGAAAATTTTCATTTAGGTTCAACTACAATGTAAGATGAAGCTAGAGTCTGTTCAGTTCAGATTATGCAAAGGTTCATTGGAGAAGGAAATTCTACAGGTATGTTAAATACACAATATATCATTGTTCATCTTATAGTTATAATCATGACTGCTGCTGTAAATAATGTAGCATTGATATTATTATTATGTGCTTTGAATATCCGTTTATATTTGTCCTTTAAATTGAATATTTACAGTTTAATTGATTATTTTAGAATACATTACAAATATCTTACTATTGATATTTGTAATGTGGATTTAATCTCTGCTATTGATATCCATATATCATGTTCCCCCTAGACTGAAAATTTGTATTTTAATTTGTCGTTCTAACAATATTTTTCAATGTGCTGCCAGCTTAAGAGAGATAATAGAAGGAATGAATATAAAATGAATAATCTCATAACTTCAAACCAGAGACTAAAGATGGTAAATCATATTCCTTTTCGGTTGATCTATTATGTTCCTTAACTTTTATTCTACTTTATAAAACATCTTCATGTTAAATGTTTTGTTATTTTCATTCTTGAGGTTTTGCAACGGAAGACCGAGGAAGCTTCTGAAGTTACAAAAAGGATAAGAAACCTTTTGGAATCTCGAAGGATTTCTGCACAAAGAAAAGCAGGTTAAGAGGCCAACATTCTCATCAAGTTTGTTTTCCTACCTAACCATATTGACTTGTTTTTCTTCTTTTGGAACTATCATATGCAGGTGCTAAACATGGTATTAATTCTACTCAGGTAATTTGTGGAATTAGATATTGATGTTTGCATGTCTATATATGGCTCGATCAGTTAGCTATTTGGGTGGATTAACTTGTGATATCATTGTGGTTGTGTATTGCATGATCATGTTTGTTGGTGGCATAGCTGCAAATGTATTTACTTTTTGGTTCTAACTATAAAGTCTTTCTCTAACAAAATGTAGGTTCAAACTATTAGTTTTTACCTTCTAATTCTTTTTTTTTTCCATGTTAAATTTCATTTTCGTTTGTTCTGTCTTGGAAAACTTTTAAAGGCTTTGTTTTAGTCTTCAAATTCTTGAGTTCATTTTATGTTTATCTTGCCATGGCCTTCTCTGATCATCAATTTTAGTATTGTTATGAATTACTTTAGGGATTCCTGGTTTAGCTTGAAGTTGCCTCTGTTACATTCTTAGAACTCAAATATGCTTCTTTTCTTATCTGCCATAATGTGAGATTAAAATTAAGAAAACGACACATGATGATGCACATTTAGGCTAGAGGACACAACGTTGACAACTTTTATTGAAATCGGTACACTTTAGGCTTTCTACTGCAACATATCAGGATTTCCGGTGGATACAAAACTTTAAAGGCTACAATAAGACAACCAAAATTTCAAGGATCATTTTGCTAATGAAAATAATGACATATTAAAGGCTAATATAATAGTTTACCAAACATTTGATCGTTCGATGAATCGACTTATCATTTTCTTTCCAAAAGTTGATGCCCCCTTTCTATTAAAGAAGTTATTGTTTGTAATGTGTACCTCTTTAAAACTTTTGTTGGATGTCCCCTCAGGGACGTATCTCTTTCGGAACAAGTTTCTGTCCCCTTACTATATTAGTTGGGCAGAATGACCAGACTCCACGTGGATGTAAAGGATGATTGTTTTAGACACAAAAGCATTATATATTATCCACGTGAATGTAAAGGAAGAGATTAGATTAAGAATTTATGATTGCATCTGTGGTGCTTTTTCTCTAACTGCAAAAAGTTCGTGCAGTATGTTGAGAATGAATTTGAAGTCACAGCAAGGTTACATGAGTTATGTTCCCAGTATGAGCATGAAATCGAAGAGTGAGTATTTGATGCTTGTTTTCTTCAAAATGCCATTTCCCTTTACTGTTCAACTCAAGATTCTACTTCTATTAGAATTGGCTTTTGTGATTAGTGCAATTCCTCATTGACTTCTTAATTGAACTGTATGTGATTTGTTTTTTTGGAGACTTTTAGATGTTTTGAATCTGTGACTTGATATTGAATCCAGTGATTTTTCAGTGAATAAAAGATATTGTTGATTGTCACCTACTACTTATTATTAAAATCTAAGTTGGCTTCCGTTTATAAGCTTTGGTTTACATGGTGAAGCAGAAAGGCAGTTCTTACTTGTGGATTCCCTACATGCTAAAGTGTAATGCTTCTTATATATTTTAAAGTCATTCAGATTTAAGGCACGCTTGTAACAAGTGCTCATTGTTGGCCGTGACTCATGAGTCATGACCAAATTCTTGGATTTCACCTCATGTTGTTCAAACTTCAAACAGAGTAAATACAACAATTACCGGAGAATGGTGCTAAATGTTTTTGTTTAAAAATATTGTTCTTTCCAGCTGTTAGAATTAAAAATGATTGTTAGTTAATTTCTTGTGCTGAATAAAATTTGACCCATTTAACGTTCTCATTTCACTGGAGTGATTAAAGCAATGTATGCAATTAAAACGTTGCATGAATTGTGATTGATGCTGCTACGCCTGCCTGAAGCTTCTGGTCATTTGGTTTATCTTCTTTCTGCACGGTCATTCTCATTAATTAAATATGCCATTTGCTTTTTAATTAATTTCATAGGAACTGACGTCTGCTATGTGTAACATCTGCGCATGACTTGAAATTTTTTTGTTCATATTCATACTTTTCTGTGGTTAGGAAGGATAAGGAGATTGCAAGACTAAAGGAGGAAGCAGAAGCGCTGATGCAAGAAACATCAGGGTAAAGGTTTTGATACGTTGTGAGGTTGAGGCAGTTCTAGTGGGAGGGACTACTACTATTTCTCACTTCTCCAAAATTTTCTTGACCATTTCATTCCTGTCCCTCAAGGTACTTATCACAGAAGACTGATGTCAACATATTGGAGAACAATCAAGATGTGAACGAACTAAAGGAACAAATGGTGGTATTAAGTGGTTTGGTTAACCAAATGCGAATCCAGAAGTTCAAACATACTCATAGGGATGTATCAAAGGTTAGTGCATTGGGCTTGCAGACTTGCCTTTTTTCTTGTACCCATTTTATGTGATGTGAATAGAACTGGGAACGTTAAGCATAAAACGTGACGGCATCAGGATGATTCCGGTACAACCTCTGCTAGCGTTGGGAGTAACAATCTGTTCGAGCAGTTTGATACAGCTGGAGAGGAACATGGGCAAGGATTTGAAATGGTGACAAAGAGAACTGTAAAGGCAGAATGCTGCTCTTGTAGTAAGAAATCACTGTGCAAGACAATGAAGTGCAAATGCCGATCAACTGGAAGCAGCTGTGGGGCATCATGTGGCTGTGCGATTGGAAAGTGCAGCAACAGATATGAGAAACCTGGTGAGACGATCCATGAATTCGGGCCACCAATGAAGCCTTTATCTGACATAAAGAATGTATTGGTAAGTTTTTGCATTTTATCATCTTCAGGAACTAGATTTTTTCTTTTCAGAAAGGGGTAAGATTTATACATATATATAATCTTTCAATTTTGAAAATTTCAAAATTTCAACATTTTTTTTATATATTTCTTAATGTATTGTTTCTGTCCTGTTTTGCATGCTTTATTAACAACAGATTTTGAACTCTGCAGACCAACCAGATATAATGTAAGTAGCCAAAGAGCACAGGCGGGGCGATAGGCTTTTCAGTTTCGTGCTGTTGATTCGCCCATCTACCTTCCTCTGTTAAGTATACAAAACTAAAACAGCAACATAATCGCTGCACATAAGAAGACCTTGTTTTGGAGTAACCACCAATAGGAAATGAGAAAAATCTTCCATCTCAAAGTTTGCCGCTGACACTAAAGTATGAACACCTACTGATTTTCATCGTCATCCCATTTGAATCGGAGCTTTCTCAGACCCATAGAGTTGATTGCTTACTCTTAATTCTTCTCATTTTTTAAAAAAAAAATTCTGTAATTGATACGAATTGCTGTATCTAGTCAACTCTCAACTTGTTATTTGAATTCTAATCTGAAATGTCGCAGGGAAGGGAGGCTAGTCTGTGTGGTATGGGCATCTACACATTCTGAATTGGTCAAGGCTGCAGCCATTTTGCTTGAATAAAATTCTGCTTTTGACCTCTAAACTTGGTGAGATCTGTATTGTTTTTGTGTTAATTTTCGTTTACCATATGATCTATTCTTCCATCCAATAGGGTTTTACAGTTTCTGGTGCATTTCAATTTGAAATGGTTCTCCCTTGGAAAAAAATTGATGCCATCAACCTTCTCCTTCTCCTTCATCTTTTATGTTATTATTTGCAAGAAACTAATAGATGGAGTGGCTGCCAAGGTGAAATTATAATCCTGACAAGTCACAAGCAACTCTTCCAAAGTTAAATTTAGTCTCCAATCTTGATTTTCGTTTCCAGTTTCCTCTCATCATTTTTTTTAGAAACATGTTTTGACAACAATTTTTTGTTTTATATTTTCTATAATTTAAAGTTAAAGGAAAAAAATTATATAAAAATTAAAATTTCAGATTAAATATTCAAAATTTGTATATCATATTTATTTATTTTGATATTTATCATGAAATGATAAAATGATATTTTTATTGATGTTTTGAAAAAAAAAAAATTAGAATCAAGAACAAAAATACTTGTTTCTAAAATTTCTAAATGATGTTAAAAACGTTACTTTTGAGGAAAAAGGAACCATTACTAGATTCTTATGTTTTTAATTAAAATCGAGATACAGGAAACGAGAACAACTGGTTATTAGAAATTCAAAAGTTCTACTGTTTAGTAGAGGAAGGGTAGGAAAATAATCTATTCTAGATGCATCACCAAGCCGGTATTTTTGACGTCTTTGATACTGCCGGCAATTGTCCTTAAAATGCCTCCTTGCTTTTATTCTACTCGACTCGCTGCCTCAAGCCTTTCTCCATGGCGAGACTCATCAACCTAATCTCTCTACTGACTAATGCCAAGTTTTTCGATCCAATGCTCGAGTTGACTGGCAACACATTCTGATCCTGTGGAGCCATACGATGAAAATTTGTTGACTGCATTTTCTACTCCAAGAAATTCATAAACATCGTCGTCGAAGATTGGACTCAACGTCCGCAGATCATCGAGACTCAGGTCCTTCAGCTGGCAGTTCCTTCCAAGGCACATGGCAACGGACTTGCCTACAATATCATGAGATGTTCTGAAAGGTATTCCCTATCAAAAAGGGGAAATGAAATCAGAGAATCATAATGTCCATAAAAGTTCAGTAAAAAGTGTTTTGAACAACTGTTGTTCATTTTGTTTTCTTTTTGTTCATTTCATGGATGACATATCTATTAAAATAATGGAGATTGTTTTCTTGCCTAAACTTATAAATAATGTTATTTTTAACACAAAATAGTCTTTGGTTTTACAAATCAACTAAAAAATGTTCTAGAAAACAGTTTCTAGAACAAATATAAAAAGAACTGTTCTGAGAACAACTGCCAAATAAGCCCTCGAGAATTGTTAGAGCCGACCATGTGGCCGTTGGGGCAGCACATGGTCGTACGTTGAAGGCCCTATTTTATGAGAGCCTGCTGCAAATTGCAACATTTGGAGGTCCTTGAAAGAATCTTTGTTAACTGATACAATGTGAAATATACACGTGCTTCATGCACGAACTTCGTGGGAAATGCACGCTAATTGCTAAGCTAAGAACCAAAGCAGAAAAGATTTATGTACATTATGTCTCATCATATTTTTTTTGGTTTCCCGGCTATTTTCATCTTGGTATTCGTACTTTAAAAGGATCATTTTAGTCTTTATATTTTAATTTTTTAGTTCATTTTAGTCTATATAATTGCAATACGTCTAATACGTCTATTTTGGTTCCAGTACTTTTAAGAAAGTATCATTTTAGTTCCTATTTTTAAAATGTTAACATAAATTTTATACACAATAGAAATTCTTTGATACAAATTTAGTAAGCTAATTTGAGCATAACTAGTTAAAGCATCTATCTCCGACCAAAAGGTCATGGGTTCAAACTCCACATATTGTACTAAAACAAAAATCGCAAGTAAGCTAAAATTTTGATCCAATAAATGAGATAAAAAATAATGGAGGGACTAAAATAGCCACTTTTTCAAAGTATAGGGTCCAAAACAACCGTTTCATACTTGAACTAAAATTAATAAAAGTCAAAGTATAAAAACCAAAAATAGTATTTAATCCAATTTTTTTCCGGTCCAGATTATATAGATAAATATTAACACAGTTTATTGATGGAATACAGGGAGGGGCTGGGAGATCTGGACTATTGCATTAAACTAACTTCTAGAAGCAAAATTTTGAGTTTTATTATCCTTAATTAAGTCGCCTCTAATTTCTTTGGTCGTTTATGTTTGCTTGCAACTTTTCAGAGTCTTCAACTATCAATCTTTTATCTAAAATTTTTAAGAGAAAAATCTATGCTGTAAATTCTTCAAAGTTCTCAATTATCAATTGTGTTTAGAATTTTGCAAGTCAAAAGCCTTCTGTGATTTTCAAACCCCCACCTCGTCTCCAACATCCATGCTCATGAGCTACATAGTTTTGAACACCCCCTCCCCAAAAAAGAGTAATAAAAAATAAGATGCAGAGGAAATAATTATAAAAAAAAAATGATGTAGGGACTAGGGAAGTGGAAATCAGTCTCTCTTTTGCAAGCAAAATCAATATTTTAAAATACTCTGAAATTTAAGCTCTTCTAACAAGGAAAAGTAAAACAATATACTAACCTTATGCACGAGATAATCCGCAAGTGTGGTCGCATCAAGATGACCAGCAGGTAAGGCCTTCTTTATTCTGTCCTGATTGAAACTGATGTTCCGAGCAAACTCAGCTGAAACTTCAAGCATCCCTGAAACTGCCTTAACACTATCAAATACAGGTTCCTTATCTTCCTGTCTCAACACAAACAGCTTATTCAATCAAAAGGAAGGTGAAAGAAGTTTCATGAAAAGGGAATTTGAGCTGTCAAAAAGTTCAAACCTGTAGATCACGGTTGTATGCAAGTGGAAGCCCTTTGCATAGTGTTAGAAGGGTTACTAAATCACCTATGACTCTACCAGACTTTCCACGAACAAGTTCCATCGGATCCGGATTTTTCTTCTGAGGCATTATGCTACTTCCAGTTGAAACAGCGTCATTAGGTGTGATAAATCCAAACTCCTCGGAGGACCACAGCACCCATTCTTCCCCCAGACGAGAAAGATGAACGGCTGTAATAGAATTGGCAGAAAGAAATTCCATAGCGAAGTCCCGGTCTGAAACAGCATCAATACTACTCGAGACAACAAAATTTACAAGTTATTCAACAGACTAAGATGAAAAAAATACAAGGAATTACAGAAGGATGAGTTACAGATACGCAAAAGGAAATAAGCTACTCCAAGCCACAAAAAGCCCATTCGAGCAAGTTTAATGCTTGAAAACCGACGCTAGTTTATATAACCCATGTGATCAAAGGTTTAGAAGAAGTAAGAGTGTAAATGAAGTTTGAAAATGAGGTAATAGAATTCTCCTCCAGCAACTTGTAATCACAAATAGGAATTTGGAAATCCACGATGATGTTGCTACAGTTTAGATTAAAGTCATATAACGTGCAAGTGACCTAACATCTATTCCAGATTCCCCTAAAAACCACGGGAGGGGAGAAAGTGCGAAATTACACCCTGCAGAGGGAAAAACATAGATATTCTCACCATCGGGATCACTACTTTTAACAACCTTGACAAGTAAAAATTGTTAAGGCAGTAGATCGAGTCATTTTTTGAGTGTTTGTTATTTGTATCTAGCTTTCTGTAGAGTCTCTATAATTGAGAATTGGTTGGATTGTTATATCAATAAACCAATTTCTGTTTGTAAATGCTCAAGTGTATAAATACAGAGACTAAACATCAATCAATGAGAAATCCTATTCCTTCGGTGAATTTTATGAAAAATACTAGACAACAAACCTGTTTCTCAAAGGAGATGAGAATCCTAGAGCACTTGAAGTCATGAATCGATCAATTGGGAGGCCAGTACCAGCCAATGCACACGCTCCTAAGGGGCAGAAATTCAGCCTAACTCTGCAGTCCAGTAAACGACCAGCATCCCGATCAAGCTACAAAACGTGTAACAACATCTGTCCAGAATCAGTGTTTTGTAGGTTCTAGTAAAAGTGATGTACTAGAAAGATCTTTGATCCTAATTTAGGATTTTTTCCTCAAGCTAAGGAAAAGGAAAACCATTATGCAAATGATAAATGATGTAGAACATTATATAGTTCTATAAGCAACCATCACTAGTCCGTCTCTAAAGGGAGTTTATGACTGTGAAGAAGGAATGTCTTTTAAAATCAAGTTAAAATATGTGGAGAATGTTTTATGAAGAGGACTGTCCATTCAAGTGAAATGTTCAAAGCTTCCATGGAGAAAGTATGGGGAGAATTTCTGATGCTTCGCCTCCAAGAAGTTTAAGGTAGACCAAGCAGTCACAGACAAACACAATCTCCTTTGTCAAGGATGCAGTTAATAAGTCCCATTACTCTCATCTCTAGTTTCAGGCAATATGGAAATCATGCAGCTATCACTACCAGCAGAACAGCAAGAATTTATTTTAGGATTTCAGCCACGACTTAAGATGATGACCTTGAATAGTAGTTAAATACCTGCTCAACGAATGATAAGAGAAGATGCTGAAGTAGGACGGGTTGTGCTCTCTGCATGTGCGTATAACCTGGAACAATAATTCCTGCATTCTTAATTGCCAATTCCAGAATTGCAACCTGAAGATCTTTAATCCTCTCAGCGATCGAATCAATTGCATCGCGGCACCACAAGCGAAAATCAGTCGCAACCTGGTCGTTGCGGCTCCGAGCAGTATGCAGTTTCTTGGCAGGTTCGCCAATCAAATCAGTAAGTGCGGCTTCAATGTTCATGTGAACATCTTCCCTATCAGCTCTCCAGACGAACTCACCGTTTCGAATCCGCCTTTCGATCTCATCGAGACCTGCTAGAATACTGTCCCTGTCACTGATACTCATCAATCCCTGCAACCGAAATCACGAACCATAATCATGAATTCGCATAGCAACCGAGAAAAATCCAGGATATAATAGATCAAAAT